TCGATGCCACTATCCTCGCACGACGATAGGGCTGTTTCCACAATCAGATCTATAACAAAGTTAAAATGGAAAAGGAGAGAGAGAGAGAGAGAGAGAGAGAGGGCAACCCTGACGAACACCACTTTCCGTGGTGAACTCGGGCAAAAAAGTGCTGATTCCAAACCAACCAACTAAGAAGCGGTGTACGAACAACAAATACCCACACGTTCATGGTTGTGGCAGTGGTCATCGGCTCGATTGGGCACCTTGAACGTTTGGCCCCGTCCAAACGGCGTATGATCCGATGAACTGGACACCGACCCCCAATGGATTGTGGTTTTCGCACACCGCCGGGCTACCTTGCGAGTCAAGCTTTGGTTAGCCGAAGGCTAAGGTTGTGAATTCATCAAGAGACTTCAGCTGCCTTGGCCTGGGCAACCTGGTAGTAGTCCACCCCTAAGCAAATCATGGAACGTCCTTCTTTTTCATAAAGATTACTGTACCATGATTTGTTTGGCACATGGTCTGGATTCAGACGTGTGTGAAAATATAATATATAGATATACACAAATTATAACTGTGACTGACCAATTGATCACGAATATGAAGAGGATTAAACGGTACTCACAGGCATTTTACCCGGTCCATCGTTTGAAGATTGATCAGCTGCTGATTGCGCGTTTGTCGGAGACATATCGTTGCCAGGAGCGGATTCTTTTTTCGGAGGGAGCGGTATTTGTTGCTTTTGTTGTTGCTGTTGCTGTGGTTGATGTTGTTGTTGCTGTGGTTGTTCCTGACTGGTTGTGGTCATCGTATTCGTTCGTAAATAGTAACGTAAATAATGATCCATATATCGCTGCCACATAGCCGCAAATTCCGGGGTGTCTGGGGTTGGCCCGCCATCCTTCGGAGCTGGAATCGCTTTCAACGTTTGCTGATAGGCAGAGGCATATGCGGCCTGATAGACCGGATCAGAGTTGAAAACACCGGGTGCAGGTGGTATCGGGTGCGGTGGAGCTCCTATGATTGACAAGGAATGGGGCAAGAGTGGAGGTGGAGGCGGAGGTAATAGACCCGGGATCGGTAGTCGACCTCCAACACCAGTTGCTGTGGTGGCTCCCAAATGACCGGCGTGAACGGCACCTCCAGGAGGCATAAAGGGGGCTGGCGGACGAGGAAGAAGGCTAGTGGGAAGCTTCAAACCGGATGCATTGACCTTCTCCACAGCTTTTTCGTACAATTCACACGCTTTCTGATACATTTGATGCATCTTAAATCGAAAACGACCGGAGGTATTTGGACGATGGACACAAATTAACAAACAAAGAAAAAGTCGCCATGAGATCAAGCAAACGGTCAATATATCTTAGAAGAAAGTCAAGTCAGTAGTAGCCTTATACACCGGGATGGGCACCTTTCATTATTTTATAGCATATATGTGGATGCATACAAAATGAAACAGAAGGCAGTAGATATCGTCTTTGTCGACGGAGCAGGTAATTACGTAATTCTATGAAAACTTTCTCGTTGTCAACAAGTATACTTGCGAGATGTCGTAAAACAGAATCACGATATGAAGAGGTTTGTGCAAAGAAAATCCTACACCTTGAGCGTGTGGATCATGTAGACAGCTTCTGAAAATTCGCTGTGTAATGAGTGATTAGTGTCTATGAGTATTTTTGCGATATAATTTTCACATGCCCGTAGATTTCTATTTATGATAGAGTCTGCAAGTTAATCTTTGAGAATGTGATTACACTTACAGATCTTGCCACTAAATCTTTTAAGTCTTTTTAACATACCGGGAAAAATCACCGGTGGAGGGAGTGGTACGCATGCATTCACAAAGTTAACAATCAACTTGTGGGGAAACGAGTGTTCTTAATTGGAGTGAGAAATATGACAGCTTTCTAACTTTACAGAATGTGCTCTGAACTTGCCGTGACCGTGATAAATTGTATGATGTGACACCAGGGTATTTTACTATTGTTGATGTTGTTATGGGTTCATGATTGTTAGAGAGAGAGTGGGGAACCCATTTGTGAGGGCTGAATATGGTTCATCGGTCAGCAGGGGAAAAGTCTTTCCAGATATTTTGAGGCATCCAGTGAGAGGGAACGGCACGAGGATTAACTAACAACGTTGTTCAGCTTGCTTTGCATTTCTGACGCCTCTCAGGGGGTAGATGGGGTGGGTACTTTGCAACCTAAAACATCATTTGCGNNCAGGACGAATGGGAAATCGTTTGACATACATTGAAAAGAAAAATGGAGTGGGAAGAATTGCACATGGCAGAACATCAGAAGTAACCGGGCTAGTAGAGTAGTGAGAGGAATGCGCGCGCACACACACACACGGAATCACATAGAAGCAGTTGGCACTGTCAAAAAAATGTTTCAAAGTCACCATCACTTCGTCCGTAAATCTACATGCCGTATATCTTCAATTTCAAAGTGATGTAAAAGATAATCCACACAGTTGTCGTTACCAGTGTTGGTCTTACGCCGACCGGCACAAGTTAGATCAAATGCTTTCGGTTTGTGGAGGGTGGGGTGGGGTGGGGTGAGGGAGCAACTCGTTTATTTGAACCGACTTCATTGTAGTGGGCCACTCTCCAATCCCTTCCAAATGACAAAGCCCTCCTGGATAAATTTCAATTGCTGCCTCCGCTTGCCTGCTACGTCGAAATGGCTACTCCCCCGGGGCTATGATCGGGTTCACGAACCACACTCAGGATTAGGCGTGTAACCTGATCCCGGGAATACCGACTCGATTGGATAATACGAACGAATTTTCCACTTGTTGTGTCACGCTGAAATTTTTGTTTCGTGTTGGTGATTAGATAATAATAATAATAACAATAATGATAGTAACGATGTTTTGATTGCACACCTGCGTTTAGGCCACAGAATAAATACAAAGGTGAATAAACGAGTACATACTTTTGGTGATACCGTACTTGAGTTTGTCATGAACAGTTTTACTAGGGCGCCCTACCTCTTACAATTATCCTCGCACTCCCTCTATCTCCGCTTGTGCGACAGTGGAGTCGATGAACTGTTTCGGTACAATCGATAAGGTATTTCTAGGCCGCCAGAAGTTGAGTCAATGAGCGTATCGGTGACCCCCACTGGCGACCAGTTTGGATACCACCGGCCATTCGTTTGTTTGAGCCGCAGGGAAACAATGACTGAGAATACCCTATGAGAGCAATCTCAACCCCGTTGAATAGCACAAAATTTGGAACTTGAATCGATCTTTCGTCGGGATACGGTTGACGCGGGGCCTGCTTGGGAGAGCACGCATCATAAAACAACCAAACAGAACCAGGTTAAGAAGTGAGAGACACCGGTGAAGATAATGTTACACCGTTCGGGAAAAAAAAACAGATTGCTCAGGAGCGATCGTCGGAGTATTTCACTGAATCTAAGATGCAACAGTTGCTCTAGGTTAACGGTCCCATCAGTTTTGGGGTTTAACAAACCAATTTGTGCCTATTTTCACACAAGATAATGTCGTTTATATATAACCTGCATACAAAAGCGGTATGTATGCAGAGTTCGATTGTGCACTCTCTGTGTGTTGACCATAAAGATTCACCTTCTTCCCCCTTTCTCAAAGTAGGCCCAGTCCATATCCACCTTACATTTAGCCACTAACCTTGTAGGCATTGCGAGTTTGGCAGCGATCAGTGAATTTCGCTTCGTTGTATTTCGCTGTACGATGATGATGAAGGCGCTATAGGAGTTGGAGTACGTGCGCGTAAAGCAACGACAACGGTCGGTTACCATATCCTTTAGTGTCTCCAAATAACCAGTTACCGAATCTTCTGGACCAAATTTAAAAGATGGGAAACGAATACTCTAACCAATTGCTGGGTGTATTTATTGATGCCTAGCCTCCGCATCATCCTGTTGACCTCCCCATGATTCCCTTCAATCAGGAACAGCAGCTGCAAATAAGGTATAGTTTGGCAGACGATGGCTGGACATGCGCAATCCGTGTTGGAACTAGTGAAGCCGACTCATCTGAATTTGGTGAGATAACGGAAGCCGAAGCGTTTTCAAACACCGGAAGGATATATTAGAAGTTATTCGCCAATCCACACCATCTTATCCGCACTAATCTACGTGGACTCCGATGGTCTGTATTTGTATAACTTTTGTAAGTTTATTGTTTTATCACACACTTAAGTGTGATGAGCAGCAGACAGAGCGAACCCCACAGTTACGAGGACCTGCTGTTTCGTGGGGGAAACCGGTAACCTAAGCCCCGGGACTTGGAGTGGTGAACCACATAAAGCCTCGATAGGTTAGGCGTGATATTGAACCGGACGACAGCTGAGCTGCCTACCGCCAAAGTCGGGTGGCGGTGGTGGGGCTTGAACTTCGGACCACGGGGTCCAAAGCACGCTGGTGACAGCGACTAAACCACTGCGCCACCACCACCATAAAGTCGAAAGTTTATAGCCAATGGATATCTTCCACAAGAAACCTCGGGATTTCACAATCATAGAGCAGAAGTGGCCGCACCGTAGTAAAACAAACACAAAAATTTAACTAACCACGGCCAACTTCTGACACGCTAGTTTTGAGACAAAGGTAGTTTATATTAGGGAGTCAGCTTACAACATGAAAACTGTTTTCTTCTGGGACAACCAATCAGAATGAGGATAGATCAAAGGTGATTGGTCAGCCCATCTTTTGGCCTATAAACAAACACGTTTTTTAGTACAATAAATGAATTCCCACACGCTTCTAGCGGTATTGTATTTAACTACTTGTGCAATCGCTATCTGAAAGAGAAACGGTGCTGGAAGATCACTGCACTTGCACATCGAATATTGAGACAAATTCATGCGGTCATATCAATTGGGCGACCGAGATCACCTATATCGATTCTAATATTACCACCCATGTCTAAACATCGGTACATATGGTGGTCATGGACTTTTTCCAATTGTTAAGAACACGACTACTTTACCGGGCATGTTTTATGTAAACAAAGCTCTGACTTCGAGTGAAACGAGATATCGATTATTTGATGATATTAATTCCATATCCTGGATTTCCCGGAAACCAGTAGTTGTTCATGGTAGAGAAGTGATTTGAAATGACAGAATACAAATTATCTCGTACTTATTCTATCAGGTGCACTTACCATGCAGGGACATCTAAAACTGCAGCAGATAGGTGCGGTCGATTTATTATGTATGAACGTTTAGTTCGGTGGCAGACAAAACAAGTGTCGTCAATTTGCAGTGGCGACAAACACCAATTTTCGTGCTCTCGTTCTAGTTGCTGTTTTCCATCCATCTCATGTAACGAGTCAATGAAAAGAGTGTGAGATGAAACGAGAAGCTGATATTAGTACCAAGAAAGAGACACAATGTATATGGAGTGGGTAGGTGTAGGGGAACAATGGATGCACTGGTTCAGCTTTAGTTTCAGTTTGTACAACCATTAACCATGCACTATCGTGCGCCGGTTTTGGTTTCCCATTTGGATGAACATTAGGAGAAAGATAGG